ATTGTTCAAAGTCTACGCAAAATGTAAACTTCTTATAACAACTTTATCACTCAATTCAACATCTCTAGAAACGTCGCTCAAACAGTACTGTCAACGTGAACTAGTAAATGTTTACAATAAAACATATTTTCAAATCATATCTGTCCAAAATCACACATCAGACGTCATTGTCTCTTGATTCAATTTTTGGAGGCAAATAGTTCATCATCATTTCAGGTAATCTTTCAGGTAACTTTAACTTTAGCATTCTCCCACTTGGGAATCAAAGCCACTATTTGGCAAAGAACGTTTGCATGTTCTACCCAGAGTACATGTTCTGGCTACCCAGAGTACATCTGGTGAAGGCCACTAAAAATACTCCCGTCTGTTAATCATAAATGATGTTTCGTAGCACGCCATCCACATTAACTACTTTTCCAATGTACCAAGCACCATCATAGACTGAAGCAGTATAATTTCCAATCATGTACATAACAACTGCATTATTATCATAGGGTTCGTCTGCGTCACTGCGTTAGGGGTTCATATTTGCACTTCATGAGGCAAAGCTAGAAACAAACGTTTTTAAGGGGCGGGGTGTGGTATACCCTGGGTATGTGGTACCGCTTTATGGTGTAACGAAAACATTTTTGAAAAAAAATTGATATACCTGCACATGTTATTTTTTGTTGAAAATAAAGTATGATGGCATTTGTGCATTTCCTTGTTTTTCAGGAAAACATTATTATATTATCTTCTTTTGATAAACTTTGTAAAAGGTCCATGGTAACTCAAGTTACTACATAAACTTTGAGAAAACATTGGAAAATTGGAAAGACGTCCATTTTGAATGTTTTTCATGAAATTTCAGCATTCCCTGGAGTTAAGATTTACCTCTTACCCGACTCAATAAAAGAAGACACTGTGACGATACTTTCCTGAAAGTTCTACATGCCTTCATACTTTATTTTGTACAAGAAAATAAAACTGAGCAGGTATTGCAATTTTTTCAAAAATGTTTCTGTTCCACCATTTCCTTAACACGCGCCCTTTCTTTCTGTACTTTCCCCATCTTTTCTCCTTTCCATTCAATATAGGCTTTTTGAATTACTGCTCTTGATTTACCCATTTTCTGAAAGAATGTTCACCTATTTGAAACTTTAAATCAAGTCAGAAAAGGATTGACAATCGTTTTAAGTAACGTTACCGAACATAACGTAATTTATCCAACATTTAATATCGAATTTCACCAAATATATTTCAAATTGAAAATTTTGTTCTTGCACCACAAATACCATGTTTCTAATGAATGATGTGCTTCAAAATTATCATCCAAAAATCATTTGAATGTTCTTTACTGAGATTGTAAATGGAGTTGGGTATTTACTTACATATTTTCAACTATTTTGATGCAATTTAGTCGATTTACAGAGATAATACACAGCTTTGAGTCAACGTGGCGCCATAGCGCACCAAAACTAACCATGTGACCCATTGTCATTGTGCTTGTAGTTGTATAACAAGTCAAATAGGATTGTTTCGTAAAAAAAGACTCACGTAGTTTAAGGTAACGTTATTTAATATTTGTGACATTTTAATGCGAATCAATTATTAATTCACTACTAACTGACACAGTAGGGTCTCATATCAAGTCATCAAAGGCTATAGTACAACATATGTGGAAAACGGTGCCTTCGTTCTTTGATTATGTTGGATATTTGGTAACGTAGTTTAAAGTCCTTATCCATAAGTTTCAAAAAATATTTTTTGACAAGTCACAGATGAAATATCTTGGTCAATACATTGACATTCTGTATATTTCATGAATATTTTATATGTATACTAGTATTTGATGTTTGTTTGAAGGTAAACGTCACATTGGTATAAGCTCCATATCAGGTATACATGCAACAGGCAGTAACTTTCACAAATCTGGCGACATTATTATAACGTGAAAAAGAACAGGTTCTTGTTAGTATTTGGATTTGAAACTTTGCATGAATATTTCTTACACATCATTGTTACGCATGAAAATATATAATACGGATTGTGATAAATAAATTTAGTCTTTTTTCTTCCATATACCTAAAAATGCTTCTTGGCGACAATAACGTAATTTAAGAATTTCTGACTTTAACTGATTGTGACAACACATATGTGGACAAATGGAGCCAAACTTTTAGTGACAATATTAGGCACTGAACCATTCTATACAACCATAATGAATAACACTACAGGCACAGTGTTATTTAAGAGAAAATATACGGCGACAGAAAAATTGTGATTGGGGCATTACTATCTGGAATGACTGATAGTTGTTATAAGAAGTTTACATTTTGCATAGACTTTGAACAATATATTTGCTCTCGTTATCTAATGACGACTATACCGTTTCTTAACAAGCGTTACCAAAATTTGCTGATTCAGTACTAGGATGAGGGGTCTATATACCAAGTACATTTAGCATCATTGTTATTCACAATATGTAATGATTGGTTTGGTTTTTTCATTGAAATGTCTTCTTGATCAGATTTAATGACACATGGAGCTGATGTTCTAAGATGTTAGTCTACGTTACCATTCGTTTAAATATAGTACGCAAATGCTACATTTTACATGAACATAGTGTGTTTTCATAAAATTAGTTTCTCTTATATATCAAACGGACCAAATTAATTCTTTGGAAACCACTATATTGTGCAACTGATTGAATTGAAAATGTCAGTTCCCAGCAATTAATCTACGTTACAATATAGGCATGTTCAATGCTTGAATTTTTTTTACAAATAGATAACCATGACAGTATCCAATATCAGTGTTTAACAATGCAGAGATATACTCCTTTGCTCTGCTAAAAAGTATTAAACCGAGGCAATGGTCACAAAAGATTTACACTTAATGATTGAATGACAGACAAACATTATGGAAATTACAATTTTAAGGACAAACATATAAAATATTTGTAATTGAGCAAAAAAAGTTCAAAAGCCAACAATCATTAATCCTCCTGATAAGTATCAGTGCCCTAATGTCTGTACTTTAAGGTAGGAAAACATTTTATTTGGTAGCACTGTCATAAATTAAGAAGTATTCAAATCAATTAAGATGGTACCTATAACGTAATTTAAAATGGCACAAAAACTTTAGATTTGGACCACGTATTTCAAATCAAAATTACTACGAATCCAAAAGAGTCTAAAAGCCAATTTTTTAGTATTATGCTGTAGACATATAACCTTATAAAATAACAACACTGGCTACTAGAGTTTCCACGTATATGGAGTATGACCGGTTCTTAGGCTACGAATATGACCTGTTTTGGAAAGTCATGAGAGGCACAGCTGCTTAAAATGGAAAATAAAGGTTAACTTCTATATTATCCTTTTTGAAATTGTGTTTGTTGAATATAGTTTATGCTGTATTTAATAGTAATGTAACAAAAAAATGTTAAACATGAGCTATTTTAGCAATGTAACTGTTCATAATGGAATATCAATCAGAAAGTACAGATTTCTCGCCTTAGAGCCAAATCATTAATATCACAGTAGAAAAAAACAAATCCCAAACCTTTTTATGGCTAACATGAACAAGATCTCCAAATCTCTGTTTATATGATCCCCCGTAGAGTGAGCAAGAGAAGGATTTATCTTTTCCCAGAGGATACGCTTGTGAAATGTCATGGAAACGAGTGTAACACGGCCCACTGATTGTTTCACAACCGTATTCTCCCATAATGGGGCACCAGTGACATTCGTATTCTCAAAAATTCAAAGATGTATCATATTTGGACAGAGCAGGCTAAATTATTTAAAATATTCATGACTAATTCGTAGATCTAGCTATATATTATACATAAGATGTGTCATCCTCTTCGGAGTTGCGTTGTGTCTCACAAAAACTGATCAAAGATGCTGGAAACTAGGATTTTACGGCTTCAACCTAATATTAATACGTTTTCTCTTGATTAAGGCCCCTTGTGATATGCCTGGCATTATAAGTATACCAAGTATCATTCATTGACCAAGTAGGATAAAAAGAAAACGTTCGAAAGTGTTCATAAAAAGCAAGTACTCACCTCGTCTGTTTATAGGAACAGAAATACGGTCACACTCGTAAGCTTAGAACCGGTCATACTCAATATACGCGGATACTCTAGTAACCCGTGAACAAGGTATGAAGTGAAACGGAGAAACTTTATTTTTATCATTTTCTGAAAACCGATTGGGGCATTACTGTCTGGAATGACTGAGTATCTTGATGTATTTGGCTATCATGCGTATAAAATACGTTCCTAAAACTATGATGAAGACGTTAGGTGAGAAATATTGCTATTGTACGTTCGAAAAGTATTTGGTTGTATTTTGTAGTTCTCATGTATTTTTGTTGTATTTTGTAGTTTGTAATTACCCATGAACTTTCGTAGGCTAAACATTAAATAATTAACGTCTTGACTTAGCATATTTAGCCTAATTTTGCAATGATGTCAACGTGATTCCAATGTTATGTTGTCGTGATTCGCAGAGGTTGCAACAAGATTCGTTTTAAGAAATTGGGTTTCGGAAAACGTACCTTATAAAGATCCAAAATTCCAAAACATACTTAAGGTAAGCGTTTTCTTGGTCTTAAAATATGCGAGATTTTCAGTGAAAAAAAGAAAAAAAATTGAAATAAATGTGAAAAAGAAATTGAAAAAATTGTGAAAATTTTTTTTTAAAAAAATTGAAAAAATATGAATTTTTTTTTTAAATTGCAAACAGCATGACCGGGATGGATACAATTTCAATTTTATTCATTATACCATCACCCAAATAAAGGGTATTAGGCAAAAGTACATACAGTAAATAAGTATATAACAAGTAAGTATTTTATACAGCGTGTATCCATCCCGTCCCGGGCCTTGGTGATAACTCCCTAGATACAATATATATTCCCGTTCGTTATGTACCTAGAACCTCAGTAGTTATGAAATACAATGCAATATGCATTGCTAGTTAATTCGATAATCCACGTTACAATACAATGCCCTTGCCAAAGTAGTTCCACTAATAACTATTATTAAATAGAATTTAATCCTAAGTCGTTAGTTGAAGTGAAATCGCCATTTATCCATTTGACACTCTGTTCTGAGGAATAAAGCCCATTAGGTAGAAACTCGAATGAAGAGCTACTGTAACTATAATGGCACGTTGTAGCAGAAGCCGTGTGACGATTTTTCTTCTCACCATGTTACACATTCTGGCATGTTCTTATTTAATATATCTGTACAATACAATTGACAGCAGACGACAGTATACTCCCAAAATAGATGCTCTAGATGTCAGCCTTTACAAACCTAGAGATGAAGGTCCTTTAAAGGTCAGCTTTATCGAGAAAGTCGATCCGATTAAGATGGAAGATACACATACCCTTACGAAGGAAGACCTGCTTACAATAGATAAAGTTATGAAGGAAAGGAGAGAGAAGGTCCAACAAGCCTGTAGAGAAGATCCTAATCTGAGCATTAAATCAAAGATTTCTCAGTCCCGCCTTTATGTAAATGATAAACTTAAGGTACTGTATTGTTTTACCCCTAAAGTTGCTTCGACAACATGGACAACCATCCTTATGGCACTGGACAGGGGAATAAACGCGACTCAAATAATGACAAGTGAGATGGCGTTCAAAAAAAGATCAAAGAACACCAATGTTGCATTATATTTGTGGAAAGACTGGAAGAAATCATTGAGAAAATTATCATTGTATCCTCCAAGAGAACGTGACAATATTTTAAAAAAGTATTTCAAAATGTTCTTTGTTAGAGAGCCATTTGACCGTCTGTATTCAGCTTGGAAAAATAAATTGAACGTCTCAACTCCCGGATATTACACAGAGAAATATGGTCGGGACATTTTACGAAAGTATCGTAAGAATGCGAAAGTGACTGACATAAAACATGGCGTTGGAGTTACGTTTGAAGAATTCACCCGATATATACTTGATATAAATCCTGGAAGGACCGATCCTCATTGGCAAACCATACAAAGCACGTGCGCCCCGTGTTTTATCAACTATGACATCATTGGTAATATGTACGACCTTGATAGGGAAAGTCAGTACATACTCTCAAAATTAGGATACAATGATGTTGCAATGCCACATTTAAACTCCATGAAGTCTGCAAAAATGGATGTTACTAAAAAGTTAAAAACATTGCCAACAATACCTGAAGCCAACATGAATCGAATCCAGGAAATGTATCATGTTGACTATATATTATCAGAAGCCATTGGCTTCAAGAAATATCCGTACACTTAGTTGCAGAGCATTACCTCTAGCCAAGAATTGACTGGAGACTAGCTGAGTAAATCTCACATACATTGTATCTCGAGTATAAAACTAAGACAAGTGTTGACATTAAAACGTGTTTATTCAGCCACCAGATGGCGCTCTAGTTTGCACATATTAAACTAGTTAACAGACACTGATACATAAACTCTTTAAACTAGTTACATAACATTACATCTCCCTTTTAAACTTTAAACTCAAGTTTACTCAAGAGTCTCTATTAACAAAATATGAATGCATGTTATAACATAGACAGTTCAAATAAATATAGTGCTTTAAACTTTCAACATGTAACTGTAGTATCACTAGATTTTCATTGTCTATACTTTAAACATGTTTCTATACTGTCATACTCAGTTTCAATAGCACTATACATGAAATAGACAGTTTGTCATCCGCCTGTGAATTATCTATTAACTTTCACAGATCAAGTCTATCTGGGGCTTTTCTGATTCTTGTAGAACGTCTCAATATCGGCGTTGCAGATCCTGGAACAATGTCACTACTTATAGGATTGTTCACTGATTTTGTTTCACTACTAGAATCTGTGGTTCTAGGTATAATGTCACTACTGGTAAATCCTGCCTCTGTTACTGGACAGTCTGGAGTTGGCACTGGTATTATGTGCTTACGATTCCTTCTATAAACACGATCAGTTTCACTTGATTTCAAAATATATGACCTATTACTGTGTTGTTCAACTAGTGTACCAGGTACCCACTTTTCATTAAGTCTAAATCTAACAGATTTTCCATCAGACAAGGGTTTCAGATCATGAGCTGACTTATCATAATAGAACTTTTGCTTTTCTTGCCTTTTCTCAAGTTTAGCATGAACTGTTGAAGAAGGCTGGACCTGTGGCTGAAGAAGACTTTTGTGTGTTGGAATAAATGACCTCAATCTTCTACCAAATAACATTTGTGCTGGTGATAGTTCAACCCCATCTATTGGTGTATTTCTATACTCAAGTAATGCAATTAAAGGATCAGAATGAGTATCTTCTGCCTTTTTCATCAGATTTTTAACAGTTTTTACACAATTTTCAATCTGGCCATTTGATTGGCTGTGGTGAGGTGATATAGTAACATGTTGGAATCCCCATTCTTTAGAAAACTTTTTGAATGTTTTACAATCATAACAGGGACCATTGTCCGACACAACTGTTTCCGCAATACCATGACGCGCAAATATTGATTTTAGCGACTGCACGACACATAAACTTGTTTTATCACGTATAAGCTGTAATTCCGGGTATTTTGAATAGTAATCTACACATAGAAGATAATCATGATTGCGATACTCAAGCAAATCAGTACCAATCTTAGCCCACGGTCTATTTGGTATTTCATGTGAGTTAAAGGGATCCAACACCTTACAAAACTTCTTAACGGAGAGGAATAAGGGAAAATGCTTGCCGGATTCTGAATCTGTGTATTTTTTAATGATTTTTCACCGTCTTAGAATTTCAATTTTTTTTCTTTGAAAAAATGAGATTTGCATTGTTTTCCAATTAGAAAAATGAGTAAACGTGAATAGTTCGAAATCTAACGGTGAGATTTTGTTTTAAAAAATCATGGATATCAAGGCTAAATATAGCTATACAGTAAACATAAAAAAGCAATGCTTGGACTCTTCATATTCACACAAAAAATTAATTAGTAAATGAGGTTTGATATTTGTGAGAATAAGTTATACGAGGTGCAATGCTCTACAAACACCAGACTACAGGGTGGATTAGGATCAATGACACACATAAAAATTAATTTAAAAATATTTCATGATAATTATCTCAAACAAAAGCAGTTAGCGAAGGATACGTTTCATTACACTCAATAATAGTTATCACTTTTGACTATATAAACATATCTCATGGGAATGTATTTCCATCTGCTCAAGATATCATATTTTAGCTTCGAAAATCACAATCGTTGGATAATACATTTGTCTCAGAATGATAGGCCACCCTGTAGCAATGTAGCTTTCACTTGAAGTGTACCCTTGAGAATAATGAACTTACTTTCAAATTGGTCTTGCTTTTGTGGTGCATGTGGCTTTTTAGCAAATCTGCCACGCTCATTTCTTTCCAGAACCATCTTGTTCAAATGTATCACTACTGTATATGCGCATGTATAGACAGATGACATAGATATACATATAAATTATATATTGCACCTGTATTTACTTACATGGGAATATTCCCTTTGGAAAAATGCAAATGCATGAACATATATTTTCAGTTTATATATGACTTCAAGCTAACATATTATTTCATATTTATATTTTCATAGTTAGTTTAACATGAATAATAGATCCATGAGAACAATATTCTTTGTTTTTTTAAATTGATGGGTTTACTGTGAATTCAATAAATTACAATTTGCAAGGGGTAAGTATACTGTATGAGCTAGCTAGTGGCTTTGTATTTTATGTTAGGCCAGGGTAATTAAATTAGTTGTTTCTCTTTCTTCTAATTTTCAAAATTGATACGGGAATGACGGTTTTTATATTACCTTTTTTGTCTATCTAAAATGCTGATGAGGGACGGGATGATTTTTTTCTTTAAAATAACTGTAAAAACAAATAACTAGAAATAAACTGAGTTTATGTTGAATTTATATGTTGAATTGAGCCTACTTTACTGGTATATTTGATCATATATCAGTACCACGATATTGTCAATTATCCTGAAAGTGTTTCACACGCCATGGATGCGCGCGAGGTACGGTGTTTTTTCTCAGAAATGGCAGAAAAAAGGTGGAGGGGGGATTGGGCCACACGCGGGCAAGAATGAGAAACAACTAATTTAATTACCCTAACCTTAGTTCATCCAGTAGTGTTTTTATATGCAGCTTAATAGCATAAAATTTGTTGAATGAAGCATATGGTATGGATTAGTCGTGTGACACACAAACTGACCAATACATGAGGGTATTAGCTACTTTTCACATAAACCAAAGGAGGACAGTGCTTTTATTTCAACTGGGAGCTTACCTCCACACGACTGATCATGTGACCATGGTGGTGGTCCCCTTTAAGAGGTTCTTTACAATTGCTAGATCTATACTTCTGACATGTAGTACATTTAGAAACTAGCTCTTCAATTTGTGCATTCATGCAAGGCCAAAATAACACATCACGGGCTCGTTTCTTGCATTTCTCTATTCCAAGATGTGACTTATGTATCAATTTGAGCATATCACTACGCATCGAACTTGGTACAATTATACGTTGTGATTTATACAGTATACCATCATAACATGTAATCTCATCTCTAATATTCCAGTATGGAGTAGCCTGTATTGGAACTGACGATTTAACATCTGGCCATCCTGACATTACCATTGACATTAGTGATTGTAATTCAACATCATGTTTTGTTTCAGTTTGAATTCTAGAATACTCACTAGGTGAAACTGGAATCATCTGAATCATGTTGACATCAAAATCATCAATACCATCATCTTCTACTGTATCAGTAAGATAAGCTCTTGAAAGCATATCTGCTACAATTAACTCTTTGCCTGGTCGGTACTTTACATTTAGAGAATATTTCTGAACGCGCAATAACATACGCTGTAATCTTTGCGGAGCTTGATGTAAAGGTTTCTTAAATATTGACTCTAGTGGTTTATGATCAGTTTCTACATGTATTGTTTCTTGACCATATAGATATTCATGCCATTTTTCACAAGCTACCACTATAGCATACATTTCCTTTTCAATCTGTGCATAGTTTTGTTGAGTTTTAGTAAGAGCACGGGACGCATATGCAACTGGACCATCATTTTGATGCAAATAACCACCTACTCCTTTTGAGCTGGCATCAACAGAAATTGTCACAGGTTTATCTACATCAAAGTATTTTAACACTGGTGCTTCAGAAAGCAATTTCTTGAGTCTATCAAATGCATTTTGCTGTTCAACATCCCAATGCCATTCAACTGTTTTATCAATCAATAATCTAATAGGTGCACTTATCTGGGATAGATTTGGTACAAACTTACCCAAATAATTCACTGACCCTAAGAATCTATGAACTCCTTGTACATCAGTGGGAGGGGGCATCCTACAGATTGCTTGAACTTTACTTAGATCAGGTTTCACACCCTGAGGACATAAAACATGACCTAGATATGAACATTCAGTTTTGTTATACTGACATTTTTCTTTGTTCAGTTTGATACCTTTCTCTCTACATCGATTTAATATTTCAATCAGACGCTGATCATGTTCTTCTTGAGAACTTCCCCAAACTAACATATCATCAACTACTACTTCAACACCTTGTAGACCATCTAAAGCATCAATCATTGCCTTTTGAAAGATTTCTGGAGCTATATTCAAGCCAAAAGGTAAACGTTTGAAACGAAATCTGCCAAATGGTGTATTCATGACACATAGATTACTACTAGCTTCATCAAGGCGAAGTATCCAAAAGCCATTGCTTGCATCTAAAACAGACATTACTTTAGGACCTGGAGGTAGTTTACTAAAAACTTCCTCAAATGTTTTCATTGGATAGTGAGCACGTTTAATAACCTTATTTAGGTCTTTAGGATCTAAACATACTCTGATACTTTTACCATCACGTTTAGTTACCATTACCATACTATTGACCCATTCAGTTGGTTTTTTCACTGGCTCGAGAACACCTGATTCTACCATGCTATCTAGCTTCTTTTTAAGTTTATCATGAAACTTGACAGGACATTTTCTCGGTGGATGAACTACTGGAGTTGCATCTTCCTTAACATCGATATGGCATTCAAAGTCTTTTAAACAACCAAGACCTTCAAATAGATCAGAATAATCATTGAGAATATTCACTGGTAACTCAGACTTATCTACATGACTAGGTTTGTTATTTCCAGAACACAATGAACATGTGTCTTTGTAATTACCATTACTATACTTACGTCTATATGTACGTGGTTTCTTAGTATGAGTTTGCTTACTACCCTGAAACTCTGACTTAACTTTACGATTTACATGACGTTTACGACATTTTCTACTACTGTGTGTCTCATTATCGCTACTAGAATTG